GTCCGTGTTAAAATATATTTTAAAAAATTATAAAAACTAAACAACCTACAGTATTTTTACAGTCTTTATTTTACAGTTAAAATACATGTTTATCAAATAAAGTCTAATGTTACAACTAATCTGGGATCTCTTTAAAGACCATGATAAACGCCGATCACTCTGGCATCTGATTTTCACTTTCTAACAACTGGAATTCACAGGGGAGACAAACGTTTCATCGTTTTGACAAGTTCAACTCCAAGTATAACCCAGTGGGTGCCAGTGAGCTCCGAGAACTCTTCCTGAAAACAGACAACGACATCAACGGAGAGTATTTTGCTCAGATCATAAAGGTATCACGTCCTGTAGCCGAACATTTTAAAGTAGACATACCCTGCTTTAAAATCCTTCTTTTTCACATTCAAATCATTCAGTTGGGGTCTAAGTGGAACTGCAATTGTTTGGTCTGAATTCCTCCTATTTTAACTCCTTATTGTATTAACAGCTAAAAAAGTGTATTTTGCGTGATATGTCCCCCCTTTAAATTAAAATGCAACAACTGACTTCAGCAGACTCTTCCTCTCATCTCACAGGAGGTGGCTCATGATTTGGAGGAGAGTAAGTATCAGCACGCAGAGCCGAGACTGTCGATCTACGGACGCTCTGCTGACGAGTGGCAAAGTCTCGCCAAGTGGTTCATTCAGCACAAACTGCACTCGCCAAACATGAGATGGATGATCCAAGTGCCCAGAATATAGTGAGCTCACATTCCTATAAATAGATACAAGTCTCTGATGACCATACACCGAATTAAATATTAAAACCGTTTTCTTTTCTCTTCCAGCGATATCTTTAAGTCGAAGAAGCTGGTGCCTAATTTTGCCAAAATATTGGAGAACGTGTTCCTTCCTCTGTTTGAGGCGTCCGTGAACCCCCAGAAGCACAAAGAACTCCACATCTTCCTCAAATATGTAAGATGCTTAATCTTATTTTCAAAAATCAACACTGTAAAAAGTGTAAACATATAAACATTTCCTGAAAGCATTTTAATGCAATTTATGGAAATATGAGTGCTTGCTGGCAGAAAATTAACACCAGGTGAAGGAAGATGAATATACTGAAACACCTGCAGTGTAAAAAAAAAAAAGCTAAAATGCTCAATCATTGACAAACGTATTCATTAAGAAATGTTATCCACCATTTAAAAGACACGTTTATACTGTTTATAAGAGCAAAGTGGTTAATTAAAGATATGTTTAAAAAGTTCAAAATGGTGAGATTTGTTTGTGCAGAAAAAACTAATTGTTTGCAGTAATTTAGGTCTTAGAGGTTCTAAAATGCAATTTCAAAATAAAAAGGCAGCTTTCGTATTTTGCAGGTGTCCGGCTTCGACAGCGTAGATGATGAGTCCAAACACAGCAATCACATGTTTTCCTTCAGGAGCCCGAAACCCGAGCAGTGGGTGAGCGATGACAACCCCCCCTACAGCTACTACCTCTTCTATATGTACGCAAACATCATGGTGCTCAACAACCTCAGAAAGTGAGAGCTGACGCCGCCTTCCACTCAGTTATTCGTCAAAGAAAGAGAGCTGATGGAGAATAATCTGCAGTTTGAGAAAACGAGGTTTAATCCTGCATATCTTCYATCCACAGAGAACTTGGACTGAACACCTTCCAGTTTCGTCCTCACTGCGGAGAAGCCGGATCAATAACTCACCTGGTCTCCGCCTTCCTCACTGCCGACAACATCTCACACGGCCTCAACCTAAAGAAGGTCTTTAGAACGTGCTCACGGGGTCTTTTCTAACGGCTCAATTCCTTCAGATGTGAAGCTCAAGGTTCAAACAAAAAGCAAACCTCATCAGCAGTGTTTGTTGGTTTGAGAACACTTTTTTTTTTGCATTTATTTGCCTTATTTTTGTAAGAATGCCCCTCTGGATGTCTGTTTCCAATCGCACAGTGCTCTTTCTTCACAGGATAAATGAAAAAGGCAAAACAAATTGCAAGTGTTAGGAAGGAAAATGGAAGTTTGGATTTCCTTGTGAGTGAACATTTGTTCCAAAAGCAATGCCAGAAAAAAAAAAAAGACCAGAGTTTCCTGATATTTACACGAGGTGGCAAAACTCTGTTGACTCAAATGACTTTTCCAGTAGCGGATGTTTGATTTTAAAATCCACCCGAGGAATATAATAAACTGTTTCAGATTTAAATTATTTAGGAGTTGCGGAAACGACAGCTAGAAAAATATAGACTTATACTACTGTCAGGACTAAGACTTGACCACAAATAAGTTTGTGCTTTTTGTAGACCCAGTGTAAATGACCTGTTTAGATTCAGATTAGATTTATTTTGGTGGATTTGTATTGCAAAAAAATAAGAAAACAAAATAAAACACTATTTTACAAACCAATAATTTACCCAAAGAGAATAGGCTTATATTTGCCTACTCTATTTGGAGATAATGCAGTCTACAAAAAAGAAATGTTTACTGTCTGTATAAATACATACATTTACAGTAAATACGTATGTATATACATACACACATTGATTTTATTTTTTATAATTTAGTGAATAGGGACAGATATAAGTTTATACTTCTTTATGCTCCTTTTCGTGACTTTTTTCTCTGTTTTTTCTTTGATTTTTGACTTTTGTATGAATTTGTTTTATAGATAGATTGTTTTGTTAAAAAAATACACATGCACACATTTGGTTACACAACGCATATATACATCTACATAACAGTACAAGCTTTTATCATTCGACATTTTAAGGGTGTTTTAAAGCTCATCAAAAAAAATTGAGAAATCAGTTCGTTCTGTTTCACACCAATCACTGGAACACATCTAGATTTCACTTAACTTTTCTCTTTAGCATGRTCCGAATTATATTTACTCTTTCTTAACTMAATGTTTGTTCTTCCACTCAGAGTCCTGTGCTGCAGTACATGTACTACCTGGCCCAGGTGCCGATTGCAATGTCTCCTCTGAGCAACAACAGCCTTTTTCTGGAATACTCTAAAAATCCCCTTAAAGAGTTCCTCCACAAAGGTCTGTGTGTGTCCCTGGCCACGGATGATCCCATGCAGTTCCACTACACCAAGGTAAGTCTGACAGAAACCTGGTTTTGCTGCTGTGAGGATGGTTCTGTTGAATGTACTGTTTTTTTTTGTGGGGGTGGGGGTGGGTCCTGATCTTAGGAGCCACTGATGGAGGAGTATGCTATAGCAGCTCAGCTGTGGAAGCTCAGCACCTGTGATGTGTGTGAAATAGCCAGGAACAGTGTGCTGCAAAGTGGACTGAGTCACCAGGTAACTCTGACATCCTTTTATAATGTTTCAACCAGATATCAGTAAATTTGCTTTTTATCAACTTTTTTTAAAAAAATGTATTTTCTCTAAGGAAAAGAAGTGCTTTTTAGGAGCAAACTACCTGAAAGAAGGACACGAAGGCAACGACATCCGTCGGACCAACGTTGCCCAGATTCGCATGGCCTACAGACAAGAGACGCTGTGCAACGAGCTCAGCTTCATCGTTGACGCCGTGCAGTCTGAGGTTATTACTTCTCATTAGGAGGTAAAAGAATCTCGTATATGACAGAATCAAAGCATGCTCAGGAWTCATCAGTCACCATTATTTAGTAAAAAAAAAAGCCACCATCTGGCTACGATGGTTAACTAAGCACATACTTCCATTTAAAAAGCAACGCTGAACCAATCGGATAACAAATGAGAGCTGTAAAAAAAGAAACGCTTCAGTGATTGATGACACGTCAGAGCAGGGGTCTGCTGCCTGCAGATCTGGGGTCATGTTTGGTTCTGTGGTCCCTGTGCTTGTTTGACCCAAACTAACAAGAAAGAGATGAATATTTTAATTGATACCACAACAGAATAAACAATAAAATATCTATGGTAAGTCACGGTAAGCAACAGCTTGATAACTATCTTATCGTCCTGAGAGGAAATCTATCAGTTGAATATCAAACAGGCCTGATTGTATGTTTTATTAATCAAAGTGGGTTAACATTAAAAGTTTTCTTTTTAAAATGAAAGTCAGCAACTACCAACAGTTCATTTTAGTTTTTTTTAAATTTCCTTTAAACTGTTTTATTTATTTTTGTTGAAGTATTTATGTAATACTCAAGTTATTTTGTTTTTATTTCAAGGTTTTGGACAGTTTTATTTAGTGGGAAAACGAGAAGGAAATACAAATTATAAWATTTATTTAGGTTGCAAAGTCCTGTTTAGACTAAATCTTAGGAAGCAAATTTATGTCGTTGTTATTAAATAAACCCTAAATGTATAAACATTGTACATGTATTGTACTTTATCCTTTATCTTKATATTCTGACATTCTGCCATGGTTCAAATCTTATTTACTGTAAACAGACACAAGAACATGTASAGTTTAGAAAACGTTTAACACAGATAAAATTACAAAAAATGTTTGTTTCACAAAGTTTTACATTCATTTTGTGAAATGATGCATCAAAACACAACATTTTCAACATTTAATTTACATGAACATTTCCCTTTAGTGGTAAAACCACACGACAGTAAATAATACACATAAATACAAAAAAAAATACTTCATAGTTATTCCATACATTATATTAACAAAACCCAGAGAACAAGTCTTTAGAAAATAACCTTTTTTTATTGTGTACTGTCTTCRTCGTGTATCTTCTGATCTTCCTGGACATTTATCTTTGTTTCTGCGTCGTTCTCACATTTCCACTCTTGTGTCTGGATGTTCTCCGGCTGCTGCTGCTTTTGATCAGAACCCAAAGAGCAGTTTTTTCTTCTTTTCATTAAAAAAGAAAGACAGAAAAGAGGATTTAATTCACTCAAATAATGCTCCCGACTAGCTCAGAAAATAGTACACTTCAATTACCTGACAGTAGATATTTTTAAAGGGATAGTTCAGACATTTTGGAGTAGGATTCGGTAGCTAACAGCTTGTCTGAATGAGGCCACAATCAAAGTGACAACTGACAATTCTTAAAGGTTTCATGGATTAATGTATACATTAAAATATATAAATACTTTTATTAAACACAGAATGGAATCAAAAAGTCCAGAAGCAATGAATAAATCAATTAAAAATGTTCAGTCCCATCAGCTCCTTTCTTCCTCATTTCTTTAAACTGATGATGTTCAAAGAGCTGCCAAAAAGTTAACTATAGCTATACATGAAACCAATATCCCAAAAAATCTGAACTATTTAAAATTTTATTTTTGTCTGGTTTAATTTTGACGACCACTCACAGTTTGATGTACATGATTACAGCCACTAAAGCCAAGAGAAGGCCACAGGTGCAGGTGATGAGCACAATTTTTGCTGAAACAAAAACAAGTTATCTTACAGTAGTCGTAGAAAACAACAGCTGTGTACAAGGACAACGAAGTTAGCCATGCTTTTATTTGTTTTACTGGTATTTAGTGCTGAATGAAAGAAAAACGTCCAATCACAGCCGAGCCTCCTACCTCCTGTAGAGCTGTGTGTACTGCTGACGAAGCGAGCTGGTTCCACCTCATAAATCGTGGTTTTAGGTGTCAAAAACCAGTCACCCTCCTGAGACGGCGCTTCTTTAGAAGAAGCCTCCTCGGGAGGAGTTTCCTTAAAAGGAATCTCCTCAGAAGAAGCCTCCTCAGAAGGAGTCCCCTGAGAAAAAGCCGCCTCAGAAGGAAGCGTGCTGGTTTTTGAGTAAGAACTGGTGCTCAGAGGGCTATCAGTTGTTGCATCCTTCAATTGTGTTGCTGCATCTGATGGACATAAAGACAGCAAGAGATTAGACACAGTTATTTTTTAAGGAAATGTTTGTTTCTTTAATCCAGAATTTTTTGACATTCTTGCCTCCTTTTTTTTACTGTGCAAATGAAAAGGTGTCACACCTGATTCATTGAAGCAAAAGACATCAAATTTTTGTGTTAGAGAGGCTCGCCACGGCACCAGCCCAGTCTGATTTTTTCCACAATTAGCGAGCGCATGTATGCGAGGAATGACTGCCAAATGTTCATCAATCCATCCAAACCTAAAGATAACACAATATATTTCTGATTTGTACGCTCACTGAACTCCACAGTGAAGCATCACTGTGGTTCTTACCTGCACGTTTCCAAACCTCTGCTCAGAGCCTTCTCTACTTGTGCTTTTGAGGCGATCTGCAGCCCGAGGGAGCTGCAGAGGCTCCGGGCGTCTACGGCATCGTAGGCGTACTTGACCTGGTTCCAGTCGTTCAAATAGCTCACCTGGATCACTCCAGCGACACTCTGGTTCCCTGCTGGGAAAACTGGGCACAGCATAAGCAGATTAAAAAAAACATTAAACAAAATTAACTTTTAGCTCATGCTTTAAGCTCGTGCTTTACCTCTGATCTGGCTCACGTTCCGATCCGAGAAGACCGGAGCAATAGACAGCAGCGATGTGACACTCAGCCAGATCATGGTCATGATGACCGGTGAGAGCGCTGCAGGATTTATGAGCATGTGAACCAAATGACTCGGTTAAATAGAGGTGAGCCCGCTCTCTGGGGTGCATGCGCTCTGTCACTGCCGGAGAGTAAAGGAAAAGAAGGAAGGAAATACCGTGCACAGGTCAGCTCCAGAGCCATCTTATGTTCGAGGAGAATGGGCCAGAAGAGAAAGCGATTTAGCTAAAACGTCAAACGCAAAGCTTTGAAGACATTCGGAGGAAGGCAAGGTGACGTGGACACAAAAACAATCAAAGACTGGGACCTTATGAAAGAATGATTTATAAATGAATTAGCAGAGAGTACGACTCGGAGCAGAGAAACTGACCTAGGAAACTTATAACCTTATTTGTGTGACTAAAGTCAAAGCTTTTCATCATTTCCAACATCTGACTGCAGCACCCTGTCCTCAGGATTTCCTCTCTTGAGGCATTTACTTTATCACACGTACTTGCTATCGCTGGTGTCCTCTGATGGGCCTTTGGCACACGATGACATCCCACTTCCACAAAAACATGTCTCCACAAGGCCTGTTGGCAGGAAATGGCGCAAAGGGCGCTGCTGACAAAGACTTAGTGGTGTTTTTTGTTTTTTGGTCAGGTGTCAGTGGGGTGAATAAGGTTATAAATAATCTGAAACTGTTCAAACCTGTGGAATAAGAAGCATATTTTGAATGTGAAAAAAATGTGGCATTGCTTTAAATATGGTTCTGTTCAACAACTTAATCAAAATATTAATTTCTAATTTCTCATCTTCTCCTTTCTTTTTCCATGCCCTGTCCAAATGTCAACCTCAGGAAAGATCTCATCTCATAGTACAGTGGGATTTTTATTTTTATTTTTGGTTTTTCTAACCAAACCAGCAGTAAGTGAGAAAAGTTCAGATCGTCAACTGGCAGTCCACGGGCCAAATCTGGTCCACAAGCTCACTTCATTTGGCCCATGAAGAATTAATTAAGGATTTTTRGCATGCTTTTAACGTTATGTTTTGTGAAATAATTACACTTTATAATAGCTACGCCTCATTTAGCCTTAATTATTCATGAATAAATGGCCAGTTAAAACTGAAAAGATCATTTAATTAAAAATGATTCATACTTAAGCTATAGATGAACACATTTAGTAATGCTTTGTCCATAAAGGCTAATTACATCCAAAACCAACATACTCACTGTTTATTTGTGGTTAATAACTCATGAATGAACTATTCTGTATACTGTGTGTATATGTATGTATATGCTCATATAAATGTKRTTTCACACCATCTGTTAGACCAGTGGCGGATCTAGGATTTTTCAGTGTACGGGGCCATCAAGGGGCCACAATATTCATAGAAYGGCCAAGTATTTATTCAACATRCTAGRACACYAATCCCCAGTTTTTGTAAAGTTTATACATTTAATCAGTCACGTGTTCAAACACTAGAGCTTGCACACTAAATCCTCATCGATTTTACATGATTTTTACATAGCATACATAAATGAAACACTCTCAAACACACATGTGAGAAAATCTAGCCATRGTTGTAAAAAACCTTTTTATGCAGGARTGTTCAAATTGAAAAYGACTTCTGTAAGCTTSCTTCATGCTGGACTTTCCTATTTGACTCACTGGCACCACRAGTGGTTGGAAGTGMAACTGCAGCCACCATCATTGTTCTTGGGCAAGGAGAGCTGAGTGAAAGGACAGGGGCACTTCAGGGGCCAATCAGATTTCAGATGGGGCCAATGCCTCTGTGGGCCCCTCCCCTAGAACTGCCCCCATGTTAGACCTGTAATAATGATTAAAAAATGTTTGAACTGACTATAATTTTGGTCTGATTTCCACAGGTGAAAATGAACGTACTAGTTTATGAGTCATTAGGAATAAATAAATAATGAGTATGTATTTTTTATTATTTTAAGAGTAACTAGACTTCATGGATAAAGTATCAATAAATGTGTCAATTTATAACAATATTTTCTCAATGATGTTTAAAAGATTAAACCATTTATTAACGATTAAGGTTAAATAAGGTGTAGTATTATAAAATGTTACCCAAACATACATACAATTTAGGAGTGTCCAATCTTGAGAGTCACTATCCTACATGTTTTACAGGTCTCTGTTCTAAAACACCTGACATTAGTCGCCCTCGAGGTCTAGGCCTGAACACCTCTGTTAAAATTTGTTTATCCTCAGTCTAAAACTATAATTTAGCTGTGACTGGACTGATAATAATGGCTAGTCTGAGTGAAGACYAGACCAAAGCTGCTTAACTGAAACACTGTGTGGTAGATTTTTTAAAGAGTTTGCTGTCACTTACACATTAACTGRTTATGTAGAATTTCATGGTTATAWGCTAACACAAGCACCAGCSGTAGCAGCTAGCTGTAGCACTTCCAATGCAGCCTGGGATCAATTCTGGCAGGAATTGCAAACATGCTTCAAAAATATCCATCAAATCATTATTTTTAATGTGAATCCAAACAACTTTCCTTAAAGGCTGAAATAATTGCATTTCTTTAACTATGATTTGAGGAGAGTTGTACTACTAATAATATTTGATTAAACTTGATTTAAGTTTAATAAATCTATAACCTGCAGAATATCCTCAAGCACCTTTCATTTAAAGGTGAAGTGAAACAAGCATTACATCCGAACAGCAATTAAAACAGGCACTCAAATAGGATTTGATGACAAAACATTTGCCTCAAATCATTTAAAAAGTGCTCATAAAAAAAAAAATCAATCTGCCCGTGCGCCGAGTCCAAAATAACAAACACAAACCATCAACTGCAAAATATTGCACTTAAGAAACTACTTTTTGTGCTTTTGTCTAAAATTTAAAAATACTTTATAGCAATAAATGTACCAAAACAATCTTTTAAATAGGATTTTAAAACCTTTTGAGGGTTTTGTTTTGTAATATTATCTTAAACAGGTTACGTATCTCAACAAATATACAGTTTTTCTGTGGTATTTAAATAAAAGTATCACAATCATCCTTCAAAGTAACAGAATGTATTGTTACAAATGCAACTAGATTGATTAAATATATGTTTAATTACACTATATCATTGGTCCCTAAACCTAAACTTTCTTATTCGCTGCAATAAACAGTCATTGTTTCTTTCATAATAAAATTATAACTTAATCCCATTGACCATTAAAGCAGTATCATCCATGTAACCTCCCAAAAACACKTCTGAACCCTCGGGCTTCAGGTTCATCCCATTCAAGTGAGTCCGGGTGTGATTTTTACGGCAACGAGACAAAGATCGGTGGTTTTAGCTCCTTTGTTGTGATGTTCTTTGGTTGTTCGTTTAGTCCAAGGATCTCTGCCAAGGTTGATAAAAAGTCTCAGGTATCTTACGTGTCGTCACGCCGGTTGTAGTAGTCACTGAAGAAGGTGAAAATACTGATAACCACACACATCACCACAAACAGCATCAGGAAGATCCAAAGAAGACGCCGAGTCACTGAGATCTTGGGGCAGATCTGATTGAGAAGAGCCAGGATCTCTGAAATCCTCCTGCGAAGATCAGAGATGTCAGTTAGTAGATTCTACAACGATTCACTGTAAAACGAGTACATCTTTACAGAAACTAAATTTATTGATTCATGTCGAAGCATTACAAGAACTGGTGGCCACATTTTGGGATTGAAGGTGTTTTTAAAGCGGACAAGTTTTGTACAGTTTCACACATTTTAAAGCACATGCTTAAAATCAGTCTTTTAAAACAATATAAATAAGGTGAAGGAAGCGTGACAAATTAAGTTACAAATTATCTGAAATTATGTTCTTTCTGGATTACTGTCACAACAAACAACAAATGAACGACCCATGAAAAAAGTTCCATTTTTGTTGTTTAAATACATTCAAAACAACAATGATGAATCTATATCAACACAATTATCTTTATTCTAACTGTCAAATTAAACTGATAAATCTGGTTTACTGTTAACAACCAACCAAACAAAAAGAAATAAAACAAAAGACAAATAGTCACGCACAAAAAGTAATTTATAAAAATGACAAAATTCAATGCCAGTGCTGCATCTGTTCGAAAAGGAAAAAGTGTAAACTTATTTAATCCTACTCATTTTCTATATTATTTCTTACTCAAAGTGTAATGAATGTAAAGTAATGGGCCTTTGAAGTAAGGCCCAGTAGAACCCAAACATTTCCTTCAAATATAATAAATGGATGGTTGAATGCTTAGAAATTACCCAAAACTGTTATCAGTTTTTTAATTATATTTGTTGCTTTTACCAATATAGTTCAAATAAACTTATAATCAATGCTTGATATGTTGTTCAAAGAAGAACATTTAATTACCTGCTGCTTTTATACCTTATTCCACTTTCTTCATCCTTATGTTTCAGTTCCAGCAGTTTCTCTGCATCGCTCTCATCCTCACTTTTCTCCTCAAGAAGTGCTTTGCTTTGCTTTAGTCCATCTTGGTAGCTGCAGGCAAAATATTTCTGTACTGAGTATTCATACTTGATATACTGTATTTATCAAAGACATAGTTAGAGATGAGCTTTGAATGAACTAACAATATTGATCACTTGAAACATACAGCTTATATCAGTAGTAATACTACAGTATGTACATGACATATTCCCAGTAGATGCTGATATAGCCAGTGAGTCCAGAGTATGTAACAGGATTGTACCCAGTAAGTACCCAATAAATATCKATTAAGTGCCAGGTATGTAACAGGTACATACAGTTTAAGATAAACATACCAGACAGTTAAA